CGTGCTGGGCTTGCAGACATGACCGCGAGGGTGGACGTCCCGGCACAGCCTCCCCGCAGAGCAATCTACCGTCTTCCCAGACCTGCCCTGCTTGCAGGGTGAAAGATGAGTTTTTCTGACCCGATTCAGCGAAGTTGGGCGTATCACTGACGCCTTTCCCGGCCACCAGCGGGAGACCTGCTGTGCCACTTTGTAGTGTAGGACATTGGGCAAGTTGCTTCCGACCTCCTGGCTGTTTCTCAGAAGAAATAGTTGCTCTCTGTGGGGCGCTGGTTTGATGAACTGAGCGCCTCGAGCAGAGCCTGGCTCCGTGTAAGCGCTTGGGATGTGTAGCTTGTTATTCCTTGTTATTTCTGTCCCTGTTATTCCTGTGTCATTCGGGCCCACTTCTTGCTCAACCCACCCCAGGTCCCCAGCGACCTCAAATGCAGCTTGAGAAGGTCCGGGCGTGAGCGTAGTCCCCTGAGGGGATTTCCCTCAGGAAGCGACATTGCCGAGCCTGTTTTCCTACTTGTTTCCAGATCCTAAAAACTAAAGTCTGATTGGGGGTAGGGACAGATACTTTACATCGCTTTCTTTCCAAATCCTAACTTTTTTTAAAGTATAATTAAAATACAACTATAAACCAGGAAATTATAACTCATGCCTTAAGGTCTAGTTTTGTTTTTAAAAATCGACAGGCAGGCTAAGGTGGAAGGATTGCCGTGAGTTCTAGGCCAGCCTGGATTACATGGTGAGACTCTGTCTCAAAAAACAAACCAAAAAAAAAAAAAAAAATCGATAAGCCAGAATTTCCTTAAATGATAGTTTCTCTAGAGCATTAAAGATAATGTACCTTAAAGAAATTTTGACTTAAACTTTTTCCCACACAGTGTCTATTATATAAAGCAAAATATGTAAAATGAGTGTGAAAACCTAGTAGGAGAAATTTCTAACCAGTTAGTGTCTCTCTGTCTCCAACTCCCACCCCTACTGACACTAATCTTCAGAAAACTGATTCACTGAGCCTTTAAATACAACACAAAAAAATAAACACAACACCACACTGTTTTCAAACACAAGGACAGAACAACAACAACAAAAAAGTGAAGCATTAGTTTAGTCAGTAGTACTATGTAAGTTTGAAAGTTAGAGAAATCTGTGCAGATTGAGTAGTAAGTGGCACCACGTCTGGAGAACATTTTATAAGGAGATATCTCGATTAAACTGTACTGTATCATTTTTCTGCCTTAGAGTAGTTGGAATCAGTTTTCTTGGAAAATTCCAGAATCTCATCTCTGACTGACTTATGAACAGAAAAATGATGCAATAACAGTGTGCTACATACTTTCCCTTTTGCTTCCTGCCAGCTCAGAAGAAGATGAAGTCTTGTAGACCTCTGGGTTTGAACACCAGCTCTAATTCATTGAAAGTGTCCAGAGAGCCAGTAAGTATCAACTCCAATAAAACACCCAGCCTGAGCCCATTGGAACTTTGCCTAGAAAAAGGCTACTAAGCCCTTTGTCTTAATTCCAGGTCTCCCTAACGCCTGGCAAAGACCCTGACCTAGAGTAGATGTTTAATGAATCTCTCTTGGGCCAATGAGTAGAACCAAGGAAAAAGAGGGGGGAAAACATATATATATATATGTAATAGCTAAG